ACGGGGGGGGGGTTAATGTGTCTGCATGCTGGGAGCGCACAGGAGCTCCTGTCAGCTGATGGGACCAGAAGAAGAAGAAGAAGAAACATGTGAAGGGGAGAGAGTTAAATTCATTTGCAATACATTTTTTTTTTTTTTTTTTTTTGTTTTTGAAAAGCCACCCTCTATTTATTTAGCGTTTTTGTTGAAAGACATTGTTCCTTGTGAACTGCCGCCCCCGTACCGCTGTTATCTTTGTCTCGGGCTGTCAGGGAGGAGCTGGAGAACAGAAAACCACTGAAGACATGAGAAACTTTTCTCTCACCGATGGAAGGGAGGAAGAAAAAGAACCAAACACCCTTTCATGAATAGGAAAGATCAGAGCCGATCACAGGCCACCTGCATGCCGGATTTCACCGAGACCCCTGCGAGATCTCTGCCTCACTTTCCTCTTGTCTCTCATTTTTGGCTCAGATGAGCCCGTGAATCAATGTGGTTACTCCTCAATTATGACCCTCCGCTGCCACTGTCAAAGCGCCTTCCTCCCGCTGATTGATCCAATGAGACGACCCCGCTCGCCGTAATAGACGAGCGCAGCCCAGAGCTTTATTTTTAGCGAGGCCGGTGCAGGAGCGGCGGGCAGGGGAGGTGGTGGTGGTGGTGGAGGAGGGGGGGGGGGGGGGGGGGGGGAGAGGAAGGCCTGCTAGACCCTTTTGACAAGCTGAAGGGGGAATAGGGGGGGGGCTGCGTTTTATCTGGCTGTTTCAGTGGTTTTTCAGAGCCGCCAGCGAGTGACCTGACAGCCGCGTTGCACCGAGACCTTTTTCTCGTATGCACTCGATTGTGAGAAGTAAACAAAGTGGTGTATCCTGTGTTTGGTAACAGGGCGCGGCGCACAGCTTGGCAGCACCGGCACTGCTTTTAGTGCCCCCCCCACCCACCCGCTTGGCAACTGGCCTTGTATACTCACAAACAGGCCCGGCAGCATCCTGTTGAGTCTCCGGCATCCTTATCTCATAGACAACACAAAAGGTGTCCTGGTGGATGTTGTCGTTTAATTGTAATGGAGTAATGAAGGGAAATAAAGTATTTTCGGTGAGTTGACTGTGGATTCGTCGGGAGCAGGGCTCGATGAAAGGGTGAGAAGTCATCTCTCCTCTGTGACCCTGCTGCGTCAATAACATCTCTCGCGTGTTTTGACTCATAGGAGATTGGGGATATCAGGTGATTTCCTTCTATTTACTATTCCGACTTTTCTGTTTTCTCCCGTCCATTTTCTTCTCTACTCTCGTACAATTTCTTTTTTTTTTTTTTTTTATCCCATCAAAGTTCACACATTTCACGCACCGGAGCCAAACAAATGTATAAAGGCGCACCAGCTTTTCATTAAAGAGTTCCTTGATGAAACAGCCGCAGCAGAGTTAGATCAACAACACAGCGATCTCCCAGTCGGTCCACAGCGCGTGGCTGAACAGCGCTGGTTGTGTGTGTGTGTGTGTGTGTGTGTGTGTGTGGTGGGGGGGGTGTTATCCCTGAGCTCAGCGCCATGCCTGGGAGAGTTGTGAGAGTTGCTAGGGTGGTTATTAAGCACTCTGATTTAGTCACACGTTGTTTGCTGAATTATGAATGGCTGTAATTAAATTCCTGTGGCTCTTATTATGAATGATTAACTATGTTGTTTCATTGTTTGTCATTTGCCTCCCGACTCCTCGTTAATTAAGAGAGAGAGAGAGAGAGAGATGTGTACCCCACCTGTCGTAAGTGGGGCCCGGACAAAACCCACACTAAAGGGACAAATTTATGAAAATTACGCCGGTCTATTGTGTGTAAGCGCACGCAAAATCCATTAACTCTGTTTTTTTTTTAATGAATGAACGTGTTGTTCTAAAGTGTTCCATTCCACAACCTATGAACCCTGTCGCCTTGAACTGAAAAATGTTTTTCTTCAACGGCGTACATGAATCCAGTATTGCACAAATCTGAAATTCAGCTTCACATGTTAGCACTGGCTGTTATGCTTCTATCTATATATCTATATATATATATATATATTTATATACATGCGTGTTTGCTGATGGTGTGCCAGCCACTCTTATCTTGTTTGCGTGTGTGTCTCCAGCAGCAGTTGTCGGCGCAGCAGTTGGCCTTCCAGCAGCAGCTCCTGCAGGTCCAGCAGGTCCAGCAGCAGCATCTGCTCAACCTTCAGAGGCAAGGGCTGCTCACCATCCAGCCTGGACAGACCGGCCTGCCGCTGCACTCCCTCACTCAGGGTCAGTACCTGGTGTCACGCAGCACTGTGCTGAGCTGCTAGCTCCGGTCAAATCGCCTGTCCATCAGTCCCATCATGTCCCAACGCTTATTTGTGTGCTAGAAATGTGTACCCGAAAGAGGTACAAGACACAAGCAGATGTGTTGGGCTCATGTTAATACATCTGTTTATTGATATATTGGATGATCCATCACGGTCAGTTGATTTCCTCCACCTGCTATTATGGGATTTGTTCCCTGAACACAGCACATGACTGTGTTTTTAATGATAAGAAACTATTCTCCTTACACATATAGAAGATGTCTAACCAGAGAAAGCATTCAGTTGTAGTGAAGGAGCTAACACCGTCATGCAGAGCTATCGGTGTAGCATTGTAGCCGTTTTATCAACACGTGTAGGTGCACATGTATATCCAGACTGGTTTCATCCGCTACTATCGCTCGGCCACAATACCTGGGTATATTTGTTTAGCCAAAGTGAACAAAGCACCTCTTTTAAGTGTGTAACCGCACAGTGTTTCAGGACACACCTACTGTAAATCACTCAACAACTCGCTCACTGAGTGGCATCTTAAGCCTCTTGTCCGGGTTCACTGTTTACTGCTGTTTGATCGCGGCTTGCTACACCTTGTTTATTAGAGGTAGAAAATGTCCCCGTGTTCAGAGTGTCCGTGCTTTGTCCTTGAACTCTCCCTGTGATTGGCATCCTGGTGGCAGTCTCCTTCAGCCTGAAGGGAAGACTGGATCTATTGTTCAGTAAACTGCCAGTGAACTTGTCATTGTGAAACGGCCCTGTTACTCGATAGGGAGTCAATACTTGTTGTTTGGCCAGGAAGTTTATGTCTTTATTTACTCTTTAATATTTTCTCAAGGAGTGGTTCCCCTTGTGACAAAGACGGCGTCATAAGGGTTTTGGAACATGACATTGACTATTCATTCCCAGGAAAGACAAACAGTTTTGAAATAACAAGATAAGGGCGATACGAACGGGAGGGGTTTGGTGGGTGCGCTTAGGTAATAGGCAAACACAAACACGGTTTGTACAGTGCTGTTATTGTTTGGACTGGCTATGGAATCACTCATCCACCCGCAGACGATTGCCATGGGCACAGGCGTGGAGCGCCGCTGTGTTGTGAGCGCACTTCACTGAATTGCTCTGTGTCAGAAGGCTGGCAAACAAGCACACACCCCTTGAGCAAAGCATTATGTGGCAATACGGCGAGGTACTGTGCTCTTGATGGATTTCACAACAGTCCCAGAACATCCTGTTTATTGTGTGTCATCATCAAATACCCCCGAGGCATCTCAGCTCATCAAAAGAGGGTAGGCGTGTTGACTCCATGTCCCTTTTTACCTTTTTTTGTCAGTTGTGAGTACACGTTGTCGGGGTTGCGCGGTTCATTGTGTTGAAATTGTGGTTTTAACGCATCTCTCCACGTGCTCAAGTTCTCTCTAAGAACTATTACCAACCTGACAAAAGATGAATCATTGAGGCCTCCCACAATGTACAACTAGTGTTTTGTTTCTGTTTGTCACAACCAGCCGAGCCCGGTTAGCTTGTCCTCGCCGTCCTTCTATGGTTAACTCGGTGCCTCCGACAGCTGTTCCAACACTTAGCCGGAGCGCTTCAGGCCCCCAGTCTGTCTCCCTATTCTACACATTTTCTGCTTGACTGTTTGAAGTTATTGATGACCTTTCTGTTTTCCACATCACTAAACTCTTTCATGCACCAGTGGGCCGGGCTTTTGGTGCTCAGATCTAATCTGCAACACTCTAGCTATAGCAGTTAGCACTGCGTCGGAAGCGATGAGTTGATCTGCTCCGTTCGGGGTTCCCGGTGATTATGGATTCAAACTCGGGGGCAGTAGAAGTTGGCGTGACTTCTTTTTAAACTGATGATTTTAAATTTTATTTATTTATTTTTTCAAATGCCAGTGATCACATCATGCAATCATCCGTGTTCTTTTCCAATGTGCCGAGACAATGAAAGTCCAAAAATGTTGTCAGATATGAGGTCGCCGTAACAGAGCCATGAAGGAAAAGTAAGAGTGCGACCCGGCTCTCTTTGTGTTTTCAACACTGAGGCGCAGTTTGCAGCTCATTCTGTGCGTCGGTCTCCTGCGTCGCTACATCGCTGGCTGAGACAGATTACTGTAACGTTCTCACTTCCTGCCAAATCGACGGACTGAAGGAATGCATTTGACAGCGCTAATTAAGGATCAACTTGCAGATAGCGGTTTGGAGAGAAAAACAATTGCTCACATTATCTGGAGCAATAATTTGTTTCTGTTGTCGTAAATTCTTCTGACATTAATGTTCAAAGTCTTGGAAGCGGCCAGACGGTATCTGTTATAAATTACAACAATGTGTTTGGGGAGGATATAACTCTCATAAATATAAATTTGATCCACCCCCCCCCCCCCCCTTCTCACAAAAAGCCTGTCCTCTTGACCTGATAAGTGAGTCAGTGGCTGCTCATGTTGCTCAGGTGTTGCCTTTGTGTGTGTGTGTGTGTGTGTGTGTGTGTGTGTGTGTGTGTGTGTGTTTGCATGTTTACGCTCACACTCGGAGGTTGCTCCGCGAGAGGGTGAGCTCGTGTTGCTGCACAACATCATTTAAGCTGTCTGAGAGAGGCCAGTGGGACAGTGACAAGACAAATTTGTCGCTAATACGAAAGCAAAGAACGTGGCGGGCCATGAAGTGCTCACGGAACAGAACAGCGGCACATCGGGGACAGCGGTGGGTAACGCGGCTGACCTGTCAGTGATTGATACGTCCAGCGGCGGGCTACTGGTAATAGTTCCTGCAGCATTAGGACAGGACATATTTCAGGCCTAAGGGGTGCATATCAGCAGGCCAGTGATTACGGCAACATAAACAGGGGTGCAGTAAAGGTCCCAGCCCGACGGAACAATAAACTAATAGCGATGTCACTGAACCCCCCCCCCCCTCTCCCCACGGCACCAGCACTGTGTGTGAGAAGTAACAGCTCGGTTTAAAGAGCCCGGAGCACTGGGGGCCATTTTTTATTTGGGGGATGATGGCCTGCAACTGATGTCATTATGAACCTTAAATCAACTTTCCGCTTGCTCGAACATGGTCACCTGGGTACAGGGGGACAAGGACAGGAAAAGGTTGAAGAGCTCGGCCTGTCTGTGTGCCAGAGCTACCCTGCAGAGGTAAAATTGAGTTGAGAGGCCGGTGATCAATCAAGTGTCCCAACAACATACATTTTTTAAAGTGCTTGTCCGTAGTTCCCGGGCCGTAATGAGCGGAATAGTTGTGTTGAAAAATGGAAAGAGGAAAGATAAACCAATCCGGCATTTAAAGGATGGACATGCCGGGGGACCCCAGGAAGAGGACTTCCAGATCAATGTCATTATGTGTCCCGCAGTAATCAGATGGAGAGCAACTCAATGCGTTTTACCCAAACACAAAAAATATAATGCCCTCCGAGACATTGGTGTAATGATATTTTATTGACATTTTATGTGGAATCATGAGCCATAGCTGTTGTTGTGTTTGAGGAGGTTAGTCTTAGATAGGAGCACCGAGAGGGGGAGAGCAATAAAAACCAGGGACCCGGTCCGGAAAGAGACAGCTCGGTCCCACTCCGTTACCTCTCTCATCAGACCGGTCTATCCGCTGGCGGTTTCATCCGAGTAAACAGTGGTGTCGGGGTCACCAGGACCGCTGGGTAATTGAGCCAGTGTGGGCCGCCCTGTCAAGCACATCGGCTAAAAATACATTGCCCCACTGTCACCGGGCACCAAGTGGAGGGGAGGGCGAAGGGGGAGGTTGGGAGGAAGGGGTGGGGGGGCAAATGATTATTCCCGCTGTCGGAGCGCAGGACACTCGCATCACCAGTGACCTTCCGCTTCCGAAAGCAGCTATCACAGAGAAAACAGGACCAAAAAAAAACAACTTTTGCTCCGAAATGTCCTCGTAGCATCAAGACAACAATGGATCCTTTGAAAATGCAACTGGAAATGAGCACGCAGTGGATTAGCATGCTACAGCGCGGGCATGTTTAGCCTGTCATGGACGTGCACTTCGATTAGGGCACATCAAGGCGCTGAGCAGAATAAGGGAGAGTACGGGCAGGGCAGAACTGAGCGGGAGCGTTGGGGATATTTGAGTGAGGAAAGACGCTCCTTGGAACGTGGAAAGGTTATTGATTTGTCCTGTAATCATTTCCTGCTCTTTGATATGCAAACGATCTAGTGTGAATTTACAGCAATCCTATCAGACTCATTTCACAGTTCTTAGCCCCTGCTTCTCTCCGGAGTCCTCCGCCTCATTAGGCCAATGTTCTCCATTACCAGCATAATTAAAATCTTTAGTAGCTTATCAAATTAAAAATAGTTTTTTTTCCGCTGATCGTATTGAGATCTTCACCTCGCAGTTATTTTCCACAACAGGAATAAATTAAGACGAAGCATTTTGCTTCACAATGTGCGACAATCTGGTGCTTGAAAGGAGCACTTCTGGTATCTATAGAGCTGGTGATGAAAAACGGGTACGGGAGGGAGGGAGGGAGGGAGGGGGGTGGAGGGGTCCGGAGAATATAAACCCAAGAAGATAAGCATGTGCAAATCATCTTTCATTTGCCAGTGCTCATTTTGAGAATGGATTTAATTAATTGTAATGTTAAACGATCGGCCTTGCCCATTTGCTCCGTGGTTAAATTCACCACATATCCGAGGGCTTCTTTCACCATGCTTCAAACATGCGGCTTATTTAAGCGCCGGTTTACAATACCCAATACAAATCCACACACATTCCCCCATTAGATCTTTCAGTATGCTATTAAAATCAGGGCTATCCAGACGCTGTGAGTTGTGACTGAAAACACAAATAGCCACAGATTCTGCGCCCATGAGGCTTAATCTCATTTCTTTTTTACATATTCATCCTCATTTGTGTCAAAATGAAAGCAGACTTCTCCGGCACAGTAACAGACACAGCGCAGTTGGTCACACATATATTGTGTGACCAACAAAGGCTCGCTTCTCTCAGACACGGAAAGTGGGGAGCACAAACACGGCATTATCCTTCTTCATCCCGACTCTGGCCCTGGGTGTCGGGATCGCTGTCACTCACAGGCAGAGAGGAGGAGGAGAAGAAGAAGAAGAAGAAGAAAAAAAACACCACGATGTGTTTCCAGCACACAGAAAAATGTCGTCTGTCTTCAAGGGATTTTCAAAGGGGGCTGTGTGAGCTGCAGTGTGCTTGACTTGTTAAATGAGTTTTAAGTCTTCTGTGTCAATTGGAGGCGGTGCAGAGCTTTAAGTATTTTGCACATTAATGCGCTTTTGAGAATATTACCCCAGGGTCCTGTTTCTCAAGGAGGCAGGGGTGGGATGTTTTCTAGTGTCGCCATTGTAAACTTTTTTTTTTGTCGTGTATGTTCTGCATCGCTCTGTTGTTGTGAGAAAATGATGGTGATTATTCAGATTTCATGCCTTGTCTGGATGTTAATTATTTACTCTGGGCATGAAATCTGCGTGAATGCCAGGGATTTGTGTATACAAACACGCTTCAGATCACAGGGAAAGAAATGGGAGGAGGTGGCGAGGGAGAGGGAGAGGGAGGGGAAAGGGGGGGAGGCAAGAGCTCTCAGTGCATTACCCTGTAGTGGAATATTTTCTAATTAATACTGCGCTTTGTTTACAGACGCTTTGATTTAATTAAGTGATGAAGAAGAGAGTTGGATTAGCTGTTAATTGATTTCATTATCCAATTTGTTTGTCTCAGGCATGATTCCAGCCGAGCTGCAGCAGCTGTGGAAGGAGGTGACGACTGCCCACGTGAAGGAGGAGCACCACCACCACCACCACAACAACAACAACAACAACAGCATCCACAACGGCCACCGGGGCCTTGACCTGTCCTCCCCGGCACCGCCAAAGAACCCACTCCTCAACCAGCACGCCTCCACCAACGGGCAGTACATGAGTCACAAGAGAGACGGGTGAGTCCCGAGGTCTTTTCATGTTGCATTCTCTTCTCTCGCGTCGTTCCCATGCTCTCACAATGAGGAACGTGGGCCGGTTGAAGACACACAAGCTTCTTGCGATCGCTTTTTTATACAGCGAGAGCCTTTTGAAAAGCCCCATTCCTTATTTGTAACCTTCAGCCGGTAGTTAAACAGCCTTCACTGTCATCTTTGGTGTGAAGCAAACAGAAGGCCTTTATATACATTCCCATTTAAAATAGCCATTTCTCATAGGGCCTCAGTTGATAGACATGTCCCCGTAGAGTCTGCCTAGAGATTACTCTTAATTTATAGTGTGTAAGTATTATTTTCATTAAGGACATCGCGTTCACTGTTCTGTGTGCCTGGAAACAGCTGGGGATTGCACAGGAACACCTGGAAGGAATGCAGGAACTTGATGGAATGGGATCCCCATACAGTTAATAGAGAGAGGGGGGGGGTTTGGGGCTTTCCCCCCCCCCCCACCCCTCCTGCTATTGTTTCAGTTGCACATTGGCCACTGCAGCTGTGACTTCAGCTGCACTGCCTTGAGAACATTTAGCTCAGCGTTCTCAGAAAGGAAAACCAGTTCCGTGGGAACTTGTTGACATGTATCATCACCTGTCACATCAGGAATAACAAAAGCTTTACACAAACAAGCTATTATGCACTAGAAACAACGAAACCCCTGGGCGTATTGCATTTTTCAAAACCAAGTTGAGTCACCCATCAAAAGAAATTTGCTGGCGCGCATCTGCGTCTTTTAAGGAAGGAATTAATTTGGCATCTTACACATTTGCTTGTTTTCTTAAACCGAAGCCTGATCTTTGAGCTGCTCGTGAGGAGCCTCCAGGCACCATGAGCTCACTGCGTAACATCTGACTTGTGTTCCAGTGATCAAAAACCTCCGCGTCATTATGAAAGCAATGCGGATAAAAAAACATGTTTAGCACAGTAAACCAGCAGGCCTTTGGAGGTGAAGAGGGGCTGCTGGTGAGAGGGAGGGGGGAGACATGGTGGGGGGGGTTTGTAGAGAGGATCTGAGGCACTTGGAGAGGAAATGCTATGATCCGGTGATGGAGAGATACAAACGGAAAGCAGCTATTTCTTTTCAGGCAGTGGTATCGTTTTTGTGTTACCTGTGCGGACTCATCCTCTTTACTGTTTCAAAGTTATCTTCCAGCACAGACACTGGAGAAAAATCTAATATAAGAAAAATGCTCCCACAGTTGACAGTATCCACAAGCTTCCAGTCCTTCATCCAGAGTCTGGCTGAATGTCTGGTTTTTGTGTGTGTGAAGTTAAAGACAAATCGCAGGGGAGGATATTGACTCGCTCACTCCATCACACGTTGTCGCAGGCGAGCAAACAAGGTGAGCGTCGGTGGCAGGGAAAGAAGGCAAGAAGCAGCCTCTGCTGAGGGCTGCACGACACATCGGAGAAGACATAACGCGAGAGCTGGCAGCTCCTCTGCCTCACGCCGACTGTCAGAGATTAAAGAAGATGTCAACAGCAGTTTAACACGAGCTTAAGTGAAGAAGGCAGTCTCAGTCTGAATATTCCCGGCAGTATCTTAGATCTGTCAGAAAACCGAGCAGGTGATTCTCATCCTGCCCATCTGCTCGAGGGAGCGGTGGATTACCTGCGCCGCACTTTCCCTTCTGCAAATTGAGAAAGAATGGACGACTGATACAAAGTGAAAACATTACTTATTGACTGCTGAATGATGCTAATTCAGATCCACTCGGCCAATAATCCCCTCTTGCGTTCTTTTTTTCGAAACACTCCAAATCACACAATTTATCAAGAGTGTCGTTCCCTCTCCTCTCCTTTTGATGATGCGGACTCAATTCTAATCAGACACCATGGGAAGAGAAATGAAATATTATTAAGTATGGTTATTCCAAAGCGAGGCTCTGAGAAAACGTCTGTGTTATAATCCAGGGATTTGAATAATCAGGTTGAAGATAATGGGCTGGGCCGGCCGGGGTGTAAATAGAGAGCATCCCCTCCTCCTCCCAGCGCTGAACTTAATGAACTTTTAATTGATGCGGTTTGGCGAGTCCTTTTGTCATGCAACAGAAACAAGCCCTCTCTGCTGATGGGCCTGTTTTCCCGACTGGCTTCAGATTGGTTTACAGCAGGCCCTAAGTACCGTGTAGTTAGTTTCATGTGTCATATAAAATCTGCCCAGGCACAACGACGCCTGCAACTAAAACCTTAAGTGCATCCACAGGAATCACTCACCGGCTTTGCACTTCCGTCTTAAGGAAGGAGGAGAAATTCAATCACTGCCGGCTTGACACACACCGAAGACGGGGCTCGCGCATCTGCTTTGACTTGTTTCTCGCAGAGCACTCCGGCAAAGGCGGGCTGGGATTCGTTGTTTGTCTGAACAACATCCCCGATACGACCGGGGTCTGAGTCACTCAATCTGCCCCACGTTGCTTCCCAGACCCGGCATCTGCGATGCACAGATCGAGATATTTCCCCCAGTGAGCCAGGTCATCTTTATTCAATGATTTGATTATTTAAATGAAATGTGGCTGATCTGTATCTGACACAAATTCCCAATACAGTGCTGCATCAGCTTTGTAAGGGGGGGGGGGGCAGCACCCTCACAAAGCGCTTGGCCCACTTTGCTTCCCAACAACCATCAGTAACCACAGCTCGGGGACTGTAACACAGCAATCTGTTAAGGAGATAAATAATCAGATTTGGCACAGCACTCCCATCTCTCTCGCCTTTCATTTGTCTTACACCAGAAAGAAAAAAAAGAACCTGATAATTAAATCATTTAGGGTAAACCATGCAGTGGCACAGAGAAGAAGGAAGGGAAGGGAAGGGTAGAGAGTGGATGTAGGATTGAGGGGGAGGACACAAGGGAATAGGCTAACATTTGTACTACCAGTGAGAGTTGTGACTGGCTTCTCACACATTGTGGCCAGACTCTGATCCAGCATGGACATCAATCTTCCCTTTTTCCTTTTCTTCGCTGATAGATTGAGTCCATCAGCACGCGATGCCATAGATCGTGACTTGTTTATGGCCCAAAGCATCTCATCAAAAGAAGTGAACTAGAAAACAAGTGGCTAGCAGCTGTCGGGAGTCATCTTTGAGTCTGGCTGCACATAAACACAGCGCAACACCTTTCCGTCCGGGTCTATCGGCACTTTAATGTTCCTGCTCCTCTAAAGGAAGCTGATGGCACGTGTTTTTCTTCTTTTTTCTTCCCTTCATCTCTGTTACAAGATCATTAGAGTGTTCTCCCCTCCGGGCCTGCCTGACAATGATAACATCCTGACAGACCTGTCCTGGGTGCAAGTCAAATTTAACGCAACGCAGGGAACTGCAGAGCTGTTTCCTTTCTATATATTTTTTCTCCTCCAACATGATCTCAAACTGGAGAACACCCCATGAATCCTACACTCTTCTCCCATTACACTAATATAGCTCATTTACTACCGTTTAGCCATCCAGCATTTAAAAGGGCTCTTCTGCCGCCAGCCCCTCGCAGCGCTTTGTGCTCACTGATTCCCAGCGCACTCCACATTTCAATTTCTTATTAATACAGAATTAACCAACAAGCCGAGTCGCGAAGAATAAAAAAAAAAAAAAAAAAAAAGGTTGTCCTTAAATTACAAACCAGCGTTACCTTCACCAGTCAACACATTTCCTTGTTAAAAGCTCATTATAATGGGTCTTCCGCCATCTATTTATTAGCTGTATCAAAACAGAGGTCTTAATGCGAATGCATAATTCATAATTGAATTTTTAAAAAAGAAATCAGACTTTTGAAAGAGGGAGGGAGGAATAAAAAAGCTGCTAACCACATTCATGAATGCTTGACTGCTTCGTAATTGCAATGCAATTATCACATGTTATGAACAATGTGAACTCTTCAGCAAGTAATTACAACACAAGGAAACCTGTGACGGCCTTTAAAATGTCCTACTTGAGGTACATCTCTACTAACACTGACACAAATTAGATTTTAATCTGAGCATCAGCTTCTTTAAATCCTGCAAACCTGGCACACCTTACATGCTTTCTTAGTTTTTTTTTCACTAATTCATTTTTACATCAAATATTTTAAATCGTAGCAGACGGAGCGATTTTTAACCCCCCCCCCCCTTTGCCCTGAAGTCGCGGCATTAGACGTTATCTCCGTATTGAATATATGTATATGAATGAGATTTCCGTTGTTGCAGTTATTCCCACATGGCAGCGCGAGTGTTTGTGGTGTAATGAATCTCTCTAGCCGGCCCGTCATCTCGGGGAGCGGGGCTCAGACTAGAGGAGCGGCAGCAGCAGCAGCACAGGTGGCAGCGATGTAGGCCAGTCCCCCAGGCTCTTGTAGCTGAAAGTTGTGTGTCTTGTGAAGTGCCTGTGTCCATATGGCTCGCTGTCTCGCAGACACTGCCTCCGCTCAGGCCGCTTTCTCTCAGCGCGGATTGTGGCCATATGGAGGATGTTGTAAAGCTTGTTTTTTCAGGGGGGGACATTCCCGCTTTTTAGACTTGACGGTACGAAGCCGTACGCTCGGCATGGACGCGGTCGCTTGTCCCACCTGGTGACGCGGATCGATGTTTACAGTTTGGGCATGTTTACAGTTTGTGCGCAGTGTGAAAGTACCTGATGCTTTCTTTTTTGTGGGGGGGGTCACTCTCCTCCAGGTGGGTTCTAGGACACGATGCAGCAGGCAGCGCGGGAGAAGCCCCCTAGCAGTCCTGATCAAAGTCAACTGCAACATGGCTCAGTGACAATAAATAATAACATATTGATTTGGTCGTGCTTTCGCAACATGAGTCCTTTCTTTAAGAGGAGAGCAAGCAGAGATCCCTCAGGTACACGGATTCTACACAGATCAAGTCAAGGGTTTTCATGTGGAAACTACACGAGCACACCTGGAGCTGCAATCCAGGAGTCAGCTTAACAGGAGAACCAATCCTCTGTGACCTTTGACTTCTGTCAACTTAAAAACGTTTTATTAACAGCTGTTTCTCTCTCTCTCTTGCTCTCGCTCTCTCTCTCTCTCTCTCTCTCTCTCTCTCTCTCTCTCTCTCTCTTCTAGATCCTCGCTAGAAGACCATTCCCCCCACAGTCACCCCCTCTACGGTCACGGCGTTTGCAAGTGGCCCGGATGCGAGGCGGTGTTCGACGATTTCTATTCATTCCTCAAGTGAGTAAAAGTCTCGGTCGGGAGGTGGGGTTTTTTTCCTATCGCAGCTACGTTTGTCCTCGCGTTGGGTCGATTGCACGTTTCGTGACCGCCGGCGACTGCGGAGGCACTACAGGTGCAGACCGGTTGTTATTCCTGAGTGCGGGTGCCTCGGTTGACAAGGGTACTGTGGCGGGGTCTCTTTCCGAGAACGGCATGGGCCTCTAATTCCTGTGATAAGTGCAGTCCCCATGGTGACGGGGGCCGTTTTTCCCAAACAAACAACGGTAGGATGTTTATCTGTGGCATCCCACACTGCATGTTTGCCCTTGTCACTGGACAGGGGGATTGTGTGTGTGTGTGTGTGTGTGTGTGTGTGTGTGTGTGTGTGTGTGTGTGTGTGTGTCTTTGCCTTGCTCAGCTCTTTCTGTCCTTTTCTCAGCGGTTTATTTGTCTTTCCCTCTCCTTTCTCATGCCTCTTTGACTTGTGTTTTGGTTCACAGTGCTGTCTATGTCATTGAAAGGCCCACACCTCACAGCGCCGTGTTACAATGAACCACGTACGCGGCTGCACTTTAGTCGACTTCGCCTGCTCCGTAGCATCTTTCCGGCGTGTTAACGGCGTGACACAGGCCTTTGTTTTGCCGCATGTTTTCCCCCGGTTGAGTCACACCGCTGGTTTACTAATCAACCCTGTGTGCGGCGCGCTCGCGGTAATCCAACACATAACAGAGCCATGGTTACGCCGAGGATGAAAACATCTGCATTGTGGCAGCAGATCAATGGCTCACTGTCACCTAGGATTAGTCGCACTTTAAACAAGATATGACACAATTCCATTATCCTAAAACAAGCACTCAGCGAACACACAGATTCCTAGCAGGCGGAGAGAAAGGTGCCGCGGGGATGGGTGGGGTGGGGGGGGGCAGCTGAAAGTTTTGACCGTCTTAGTCAACATTTAGAATCCTTAAATCCACTTTGAGCGCAGTTTGCTTCAGGAAAGCTGAACGCGGCGGATTGTTGCAGTTTCTGTGCAAGATGGGGAAAAAACAACTAGAGGCAGTTATGTATTTTTATTTTGTATTTAATAAACATCCTCCTTCGAACACGTAGTTCTTAAACCACGTATTACACACACAGACACATTTCAGCTTTGGGAGTGTCCTCCTAAATCCGTCACTATTTATTGTATTCTGACATTGCCTCACCCTTTGTTTATAGAAGAGAGGGGAATTAAATGCAGCGCGCCCGGTGCAGTTCTGCCTTAAACAGTCTCTAAGTGCACTCTGCAGTGTTTTTACAAGTGTTTTTATCATGGCAACATCTTGTTTACTTTAGTTGCCTGCTTCAAACTGCTTGGAACATGTTAAGAAAACATGTTGGGGGAGAGTCTCCACAAAGCTGCCTTTGTTCAACAGCAGGCGAGAGTGTAGAGCAGCTCACCAAGGTGTTAACTCTCAAACCCTTAAGCGCTTCCACATGAAACCCAGCGACTGATACCACGGGCCTCCAAAAACAATCACAAATAAAAAAACAAAGAATACATCGGGCAGTTTAATGCTCTTACCAAAGTCTCCCAAAGGTCGGGGGTGGGAGGGGAAATGTTGAAACTATAAGTGAAGATAGGTGTGTGTGTGCAGTCAGCAGAACACAGTGTACTGTGAAAGGTGAGGAGGACTCTAAAACGACAACCAGATTTCAGCCCCCACATGCCAACAGCAACAACTAACACGGGGCTGAAATGTTGTTTTAAACCGCGCGTGTATTTATTCTGTCTTTTAAAGAAAAACACGACATACCTACGCGCACTATCTCGATAAATACAAAGCGCCAGATCCCTGTTCCTGTTTTTTGGGGGGTTTTCGGGCTCACAGGAGGGCGGGGTCGGTTGTTCACGGCGGAGCCTGGTGTTTTTTTTATGAGGGTCAAGACCCTTCTCCTCAGTGTCCAGTCAAGAGGTCAGATCCAGTGAAACACTGCAGTGCCATCTAGTGCTGCACTGTCTTCCTGCTGAAACCACAGAAGAAGAAAAACATCTCACACACCTCGTAATTGTTTTGTAAGTTATGCGGCCTTGCCACCACGCAGACTCGAGAAGAAACACAAATAAGCCAAACATAAAATGATGTAGTATATAAGCTGAAATCCTGTAAGAAAAGTGTGCACGTAAAATGACTGATTATAACACTAGAAATAATTAGAAATAGGCTTTAATGCATTTTAAATGTAAATACTACTGTAAAGATGTGTGCCTGGTAATTTAAATCTCCACAGTGAAGAAGATAAACCGTCCTCAGAGACAGCCTTAAGCTCTGGGTCCGGTCTGTATAATTAGAGAGAAAGAGAAAAAAGAGTAGATAGGCAAACTAACTCGTATGCAACAAGGAGAAAAAAAAAGCCGACTGTTACAGGCATGTCTATTTAACTTGTTTTATTGTGCCAATTTACATCAGGGACTGTCATCCTGCCAGAGAGCTTTTAAAAGTGGCTTCATTTGAAGTCCAGAAAGTGACACATGCCAACGCTCATAGCCGCTCTCCATGTCAATTCCCCCGCATCCCCTGCTCCGTGTCCAGACGCTCCTCTCTAGGCTGCATTAGGGCCATTTGAATATTTCATTTCCTATTAATTATGCACTGTGACTCTCTCCATGTCATTAGAAGAAATAAAGTGGAATGTAACAAAGGGATGAAAAGAAGCAGGGCACGTGTCTCCTATGAACGGGGAAATTCCAAAGCTGCTCACGTAGGCCACTCTTCATTGAAAATTCAGTCTGTGCCGGTTAAATTGAAGTTGAAACGTCTTTACCTATTATTTTCTTCTTTGAAATATAGTAAGATGTCCTGAAATGTTTACCGGTTTCATTCTGCCGACCCACCTAATTAAATGGGCATTTATTTGACTCAAACAAATGGAAAGCCCGCGTGAAGTCTGAATTGATTTCAGCGGAGGGGGTTATTACCCCACGCTTTCTTTAAATACGCCTTTTTAATTCCTTTTTTTATTTATTTTTTGCCACAATAATTAACTTGAAGTGCTGAACGTATATCACGGTCATTTTTTAAAAATGTATTATCAAAACACAATAGGAGGAGCCGAACAGAGGGGTGGGGGGGGGAGACCACGTTTGCCCATAAAGATTTAAATCATTCACCTCAAGGTTGAAAATACTGCAGCCGAACAGAAACCTTCACATTTCAAGCAGATCACTATCAATTCTCCTCTCTCTCCCCCCCCCCCCCCCACATCGCGTGGTGTCTGTCTTCCGAGTGTCGGTGTGGTGTTTAACGCACAAATGTGTTGTCTGTACATAAAAGCAATGGCACCTAATTTATTGGGCTATATCATCGCCGCCACTGTGCCGTCACAGGTTGACTCTGGCTGCTTTTTGATTTGCAGTAAACGACAGAAAAAAGTGCATTTTGAAGAAGGCGGGACGCGTCACACACACCTCTCTCTCTCTCTCTCTCTCGTCCCACATCTGCCGGCGCCACCGCCGTGCGCACACACAGACATGCCTGGTGACAGTGACCTACATGGTCACCGAAGATGTGATATAATTTATGATATATATAATATATTGGATCCATTAGCGAGCATAATGAAGTAGTGAAATGAAAGGGTATTTGTGAAATCAGTTCAAACATCCTGCTCGGATTATGATTAAATGATTAATGAAATGCCCCTGCATAAGCATTTTCAAACAGTAATTCATGCGGCGGCTGATAAAACTCCTCCAATCATATTTCCTTCACTCGTGAACCTTATCTCCACCATTTTATATAAATCACAGAAAAAAAGAGGAGGAAAAAAAGAAACCCTGTCTGCTACCCAGCGAGCTACTTATTTAGATTAGTTATAAACGTGCAGGAAAAAGGGAACATCTTCCCCCTGTATAAAATAATCATGCATAATTATATCCATAATTCAAGTTTGCGACAGATCCCATCTCCTCGTCCTGTTGTCCTCTGCATTTGGTCCGGCTTTTATTTGAATTCTCGTAATTACACAATTAAAAGAAAACACACGGAGGAGAAAATGGGGGGCCGGATCCAACCAGGGCAGGGGGGAGGCTGGGATGAGAGGAGATGGCATTAGGGCACTGGTGCATAATGTAGCGAAGGAGTCCAACCTGAAAATCTTCAATCATCCCTCTTATCTGTGAGCTGGAGCTGGAGCAGACAAGGGACTGCCATGAAATATTAAGAGTCATTCTTGTACGTTAAAGAAGTATCACCTTCTGGTTCTGGTTCTGCAGATATTGCATGTCGAAGCTCTGCGTGATATTTACCTAAACGTTGCCGCGTATTCTCTCTGCATTATGTTCAACTGCGTCACTGAACCCAGACGTCTTTTGTTTCTTACATCTAAAAGGCGGCAGAAGTCAAAAGTCCAACTGACATCATTTTTTCCTCTGTGTGTGTTTTTTTTTTGTGTTGTTTTCCAGGCATCTTAACAATGAGCACGCCCTGGATGACAGGAGCACGGCCCAGTGTCGGGTGCAAATGCAGGTCGTACAACAGCTGGAGCTGCAGGTATTGTCTCTCTGTTTGTTTTGGCCCAAATATTTATGTGTCTTCTTCTCCTGACACTTCCTCGGTGTCCGCGTCCGTCTGATATCAGCCTTACGGGGGGGGAAGGGAAGGGGTCGCGCAGTGAAATAAGTTTGTACATCTGTAAGTAACCAACCATTAAAAATGTGTTATGTATGCATGACAGCCAGGAAGAGAAGAAAAAAAAGAGATATATGAAGGGGCCCGGGGCTAAGTAGAGAAGATAATTACATTTTGAATTTTACTGGGTTTTAAAGTTATTTATGACTTTTAACTGTTTGGCACCAACAGTAAAACACTGGGTGGAATGACTGGGCAGCATAGTGTGTTATAGGCGCTCGATGTAGAGCGACTTAAAGGAAAGATTATTGTAGCCCAACACAGAAAACGTTTTCATAATCAGTGGTTTTAATGTATTTTTGTCCCTTATGTGTGATCTTTCATTGTCTTTCTCTGCGAGAGAGAAAAATCTGCACTTATGGTAAAAGACTCGGTGTCACGTGTGTGTCTGTGCACCAAACGACGACTGAGATAATGTAAGCTTGCACTTATTTGTTAGTATTACAGGGGAAAATAAAACCAACCGTCCCATTAAAGTGCATTTTTATTAATAAGCTGCTGCTACAGTTGCAAAGCAAATAAGACAAGGATCAAACTTAATGTCTTCCAGATTTTATGCAGCATCCACTTGCGGTTCACATCTCTCTCTCTCTCTCTCTCTCTCTCTCTCTCCCCCCAAAAATGGCTGATAATGAGTATAAAACACTTGTGGTTTTCTGGATGCTTAACCTTAAACAATGAGAGTTGCTCAAACATTGCACCACACCAACGTCCTGTTATTTCCGCTCGGTGGTGTACTAGGAGGGATGGAGCGAAAGCTTTACCAGACACAGACTTCCTCTGCATGCAGCCTATCACCATAATTTAAGCTGGCAGCCAAGACAGCGCTGAGTTTCAGACAGGTAGAAAGGGCCCGGCCCTGTTATTGGCAATAGAGACGCAGTGCATTTTAACCTTGAAATGGAGACAGTTGTTGGACTGAAGTGCCAAGTTGTTGACAGCTTTCAAAAGCATTTTTTTTAAAAGCAAATAATTAGTTCCAAGAGGAAAAAAGATTGATTTGTTCGAACAAGCTCATTGTAAAAGATGCCTTCACTGCAAAGGGATGTAGGGAATTAATAAAAGTAGAGAAATAGATTTTTTTTTTTTTAGTCTCCTTTCGTTCATAAAAAATGCAATGTGTTCTCTCTCCTCGTTACAGCTAGCGAAAGACAAAGAGCGTCTGCAAGCCATGATGACGCACCTTCATGTCAAGTCCACGGAGCCCAAAGCCATCCCACAGCCGGTGAGCAGCAACCCTGTCATACGTCTCTCTCTCTCTCTCTCTCTCTCTCTCTCTCTCTCTCTCTCTCCCTCTCTCTCTCGTCCCTCCCCCATCCTTTTGTTCGTCTTAATTGGCACACGTGTATTCATTAATCCCTTCCTCCATCTTCTTATTTATCTGCTAAATAAAAACAGCTGTTCTCTTGAGGGAGGCAGTAAATATTGTTTGGACCACATCTGCTGACATCCGAGATTCAATTTGGTGCCTGTGATGAACTGGATGCTCACGCTGTAACAGCTTCAGAGCACCAGTGTCTGTTTGGGCCGACAGGAGCGATGAGGAGAGCACAGGGAAATAGAAGTAACCGTGGTAATAAAAGACACCGGATTTAAATGGAAAATGTTACATTTATTTTAAGTGCTTTTAAAAGCGAAATTACGAAGGTGCTTTCCTGCCAGATAACGTGAAATGTAAGAAATATTTATTAAAATACCAACGATAAATTCATGCTAAATCATGTAGAAAAATGGGGGGAAAAAAGATTTTTTTAAATGAAAAATTGTACTTGATAAAATTGTAATATTTCAAGTAGGGGCTGAAAATACAACATTATTGACTGATTGATTTGTAGCTATAAGACATGTCTCTTTGATGTTAAAAGAAAGATTCTAAGCTGATGTCTTTGTGGTGTCATTAGCGCCTGCTGATCTTGATTTAATATTGATTTTATTTGATAAAACATGTTTCCCTGAGAACACTTGAATCTTCGTTTAGGGTTAAAAGAATTCACCTCAGCCGTCTTTAAAAGTAATTAGTAAAATGACATCTAGACGTAACTGTTTGCATGCATAAACATCTCCACCTCATTATGTTGCATTAGATGAAGTTTTGACTTAAATGTTGTTGATTCACCCAAATGTTGAACAACTGAACTTCTGAATAAATGCACAAGCAGATCCATTTATTATCATCTTGACACATTCCAGACATCGTGCTTATCACTCTTAATATATGCCACGCCATAAAGCCTCCTGCTTAATCCCCATCCTATAGGGGCGAGGGCTTAACATATGGCATTTAAGTGTCTGCGCTATTTTGTCATGTTTAAGAAGGGGGCCTCACCGCCATATTTCAGTCCGTATGACAGTTCATTCAGAGATAGTTTTTACTGCAGGGCGGGAATCTGAAACCATGCACGATGCACATGCGGGAGAGTCTTGTCTCTCGGCACACTGTGCAGCTTGGATCATTTATTTACAGTCAAGAAGATTACGTGGCAAACGCAAAGCGCCCGGAGATGTCGGAACAACAAAAGGCTGCCTGTGTCACACGCGCTGATGGTGTAGATTAGAGTGCAGAACAAGGGCTCTGACACGGGGACATTTGTGTATGAAAAGTGGTCGGAGCGGCAGATAGCATCTTGAGTTCGCTACATCTCCTCTCTCTCCCCCTGGGCCTGCGAGAATGGCTGTGTCAGAGCTCAGCGCTGACGCTCTCAAGGGGGCGAGCTGGGATTTTTATTCAAATAAATAGACTCCCATTCTGCAGCGCCACTCCGCCTGCTGCCAGCCGCTGTAATAGATACGTCTGGCTTCGGCTGGGTGAGTGGTGGACTTACACAGGTCAGGGCCCGTGGCCCTGCTGAGGTCTTTTTATTTTGCAGCATCAGAGGCGACCACCAAAAAAAACAAAAAACCCTCCTTTGAGCAGATGCAGAGTGAAAGTGTTCTCCGAGCTGACTGCAGAATGAGACGCTCCGAAGAAACAATCGTGTTCTTCCAGTAATTGCTAGTTTCTGCTTTTCCGCCGTTCTGTGCTGTTGTGTTTAATAACGCCGCGTACAAGTAGCCAACTGTCACACCAAAGTAGCTTGTTTACATTTAGTCATAATTAAAGACAAACATACTGATACTGTGCATGCACGCACGCCGTCAAATGAACAGCATTCATTTTGCTCCGAAGAGGTGGATGGGAGCGGGGGAAGATCAAAACAAAATGTACCACATTAGCAATGCATGTTTCTGTGTGCCGTGTATGCCTGTGTTTGTATTTGCCTCTCTGTGTGTTTGTGTGTGCGTGTGCGTGTGTGTGTGCGTGTGCGCGGGCGGGCGGGTGTCTGCTCTGCACTCGGTGTCACTAAGCATTCTTGTCAGAAATCTGACCTTTTACGCCATACATAATTAAGGAGGGACTTTTTGTTTATTTTCTTTAGCAGCTTGCCGAGTCAAAGCCAGTATAATTAGATCACCAATTACCATTTAATTAATTTCAGTCTGAAGTCTCATTTTGTCTCGGCACTGGAGTGAGCCCAAATGGTGAGGCAAACAAAGGCAAGGCTATTACCAGCCTGTCTGGCCTATTGTTGAAGCCCCTCTGTGTTTATGGCCAGGGAATATGGATGAAACATGAAACAAAGCCCGCTAATCCACAGGAAGAGGAGTCAACACCGCAGCCCCGCTCTATTGATAGCATTGTGTCAGAAACACGCGAGCCCAAGTGTGATTTATTTTGCTCGTGATTTAGCATAACACGTCTTCTGCTGCCGTCGGTGAGGATGTGCTCCGCGGTACGTTCGTGCATCCTGGCAGTAATCCAAATTATTTGGGCAGACGCTGCCAAAAAGCCATAGTTCAGCCTCCAAAACATAAATAGACATTGTGAGGAGTTGGACACGTCTGTTAAAAGTGGGACAGTAAGAAAACGTAAGTGTTACTCAATGGTTTCATAAGGTCTATTTTTTGTAAAATTAAAAAAGTGAATTTATAATATAATATAAATATTGTTGTGACAGTGTCAAAACTGAGATGTGTGGATGCCGATCTTTGTCATATCCATTGGTAGTAGTCAGACGTCTGTCGTCAAACCCTCCCTCACCTCCACGGCACGATCAGCTGGTCTCAGACTAGTGATCCCTCAAAATCAACAAATGATGTCAAAGATGAGATGTGTCCTCTCCAACACGGTCTCCATTTTCTCTCTCTTTCTCTCTCTCTCTCTCCGCTTTCTTTTTTTTTTTTTTCTCACAGTCTGAAGTCATGTTTAATTTGGATACTGGCCTCCTTCGGCAAATTAGCAATTAGAACAATTTTGTGGGAATATTTATATGTGTCATTAGTTTTCCTGCCAATTAATAGCTGGAGCAGGCGAGGTCAGGCTAGCATTTTCCACTTGACTGCTGCTCCAGCGCGTGGAGGCTCGGGCGCTTGGCTCGGAGCCGCCGCAGCTGCTGGAAGCCGTGCTATACCTTTCGGAGAACTCGCCATAATTAGTTTACCTTGTAGCCATTATTACTTAAATCCCTCCTCCTCCTCAGTACGGCCGACCCATCCGTGCTCACGGGCTTCCAAATGTTCTCTGTCCACGGAAATACTGCGAGGCCATCCTCGCCGCGGCCGTCACGGCCCTGATGATGGAGGTCAGTCAGATACAGTAGTTAATCATCAGATCACCTCCATAAGCAGCTCCTAATTAGAGTCCTCACAATACAATTCCAGCTTGTAATTAGCCCAGATTGGCTCCTTCCTCTGGCTGCCTTATTAGCGGGGCGGCTCAGCGGTAGGTGAGAAACACACTGTCATTTTTCAGAGCGGTTCGGGCCGCCCATCTTCCCTCCTCTGCTCAACCTCTCGCTGGTTACCGTGGGTGGGGGGGGGGGGTGTTGTCCAAACAGGACAAGAGGGACAAAAGATTAAACAAAGGCGGTGAAACAGAAAAGCCGGGTGCAGGCCCCCGACACGGCAGCGAGAAAGAGAGAGAGAGAGAGGAGAGAGCAGAGCGTGAAGAATAGAGGAGGTGGGGAGAGGAGGAGCCGGGCTCCGAAGGGTTGTTTTCCAAACATTTAGCGAACGTTCATGGATCATCTCAGGGCCCGTCTGCAATTAGCGGGGGAGATATGCATAGTCAATGAGCCGTCGGAGACACCGGGGGTAATTAGAGGACTAACTGTTCTGCTCCTTCGTCTGCTTCTCCGTTTGTTTTCCGGTCCTCCAGCTCAACCTGGTGTCCAGCGTCACGTTGTCCAAATCGGCCCCCGAGGCCTCTCCTCCTCTGAGCCTGCCCCGGACCCCCACCACACCCACGGCGCCCCTCACACCCCTGTCCCAGACCCACTCCGTCATCACAGCCAACAGCCTCCACAGCATGGGCCCCATGCGACGGCGCTACTCTGAAAAGTACAACATGCCCATCTCTCCAGGTACTGCAGCGTGAACACGCACATGTACAAATACACACATGGAATCTGCCCTGCACAACTACTGACACGCAAACCACTTATACCGTGTCTTTACACACACGCACACACAACCATGTGATGATGTTGATATTGGTGTGATAGCATTCCTGATCGTCTAATTCCATGTTGACACTCTTTGTTTGTTCCCCTGTGTGCAGATCTCAGTCAGAACAAAGAGTTTTACATGAATGCAGAGGTTCGACCGCCGTTCACGTACGCCTCGCTAATAAGACAGGTAAGGACTGCTTCTCAACGTGTCGACATTTTAACACTCTGCACCCCGCATAGTCATAGCAGGAAACGCAGCCGTCCGCTCTCCAGAAAGCCACAAAACTACGTGTGCTCGACTTATTTCTCTGCCCGCTCCCTCGTTAAATTTCAAATGCAATTTAGACAGAGGGAGCAGATTAAGCATCTTCAAATGAGTGCAAGAATGCGTACGGGATTCAAAGAGAAGAAAAAAAACAGCCACATATGACAATTGCATTTGATTAAGCATTTCTGTGGCTGTGATTATTACCAAATTCATTTCACACAACAGTAGGGATGAACCTGTTTTAAGATGGCCACTCAATTATCGCCGGGCCGCGGTAATCTGGGATCTCAGGAATTAATCTGAGCCGGCCATAATTGCTGCCCCTGTAATCTGCCTGAGAAATGTTTTCGCTTGCCCTTCATTTACACCCACAAAAAGAAAATGTATTCAAATCTGCCGTTTCCCGACGACAAAGTGCAGCAGACTTCTCTTAACAGAGTCGAGCGGTTGCACTTCACACACACACACAGTCACTTTGCTGTTTGTCTGCGTGTGTCTCAGGAGAACACAACACAAAAACCGGCATGCTTCTTTTTGTGAATTATTGATCACTCTGTGAAGGGAGCAAAATTGTTAAATGTTTTTCTGTCACTGTTCCTCATGCAGGCAATCCTCGAAACTCCAGAAAAGCAGCTAACACTAAACGAAGTCTACAACTGGTTCACACGAATGTTTGCATATTTTAGGCGCAACGCGGCGACGTGGAAGGTAATTCTGCTGTTCCTCCTGACTTCTTTAAAGCGGCACCAGAGTAGAGGGAGACGTCGTTGCTGTTGGTGTTGGGGAGAGGGAAACGATAGCCAGGCATAATACTGTTTATAAATGAGGCTTTACCCAAACACACAACAATGCTCCACTTCTTCTGTCCAAATGAACCGCCCTTTAAACAAACAATGTGGGGGAAAAACACACACACACACACATAGGAAAACCAAGAGAAGAAGAAAAAGTGAAAGAAACGATTTCCCTGTAATATTTCGGGATGTTCTGGTGGTGGGTGGCATTAGTTTAACATAGCGGTGCCTTGCCAGTGACTCCTGGCTGAGCCCCTCGCACTCACTCACAGACGGGAACACTCTGTTTTCCAACCAGGCCACAAACACACACACACACACACACACACACACACACACACACAACAAAAACAAAACAACAATCTTAAAAAAGAATGAGGAATGACTGGGGTCAGAGAAAGTTAGATTTGAATGAGGAAGACAGTGATGAAGCACTGACACACACACACACACACATCAGCTTACTCACAGCCCTTTGGTGTTATAACCACTGGATTCCACATCTCTCTCTCTCTCTCTCTCTCTCTCTCTCTCTCTCTCTCTCTGCACACTTACGATACACACATGCACTCAGCACAGCTCCTGCAATAACACAAGGGATGATATATGCAGGTCTACTTTCACGCCTAAGTGATTTGGATTGGACGCTGGAGTTTTGTTTTAATCTCTTTTTTTTTTTTTTTCTCACATCGTAATGAGGAAATGACCGGAATCTTTTCTAGTTCAGTGAAAATATTCAGCTTTATGAACGATAAGAAGAACAAAACAAAAAAACGCCACTAACTCTACTGCCATGGAAACCAAAAAATATTTACATGTTGTTGAAGTCATTTGAAACTTATTGGACCATTTTCTGCCAATAACATTCTGGTTTATGTATTGTTTTCATCCAGTGCCTGTCAAAATATTTCTTCTTCGAAATGAGATTTGATTTGATCCCCCCCCCCTCCCCGACAATGTTCACTGTACTGATAGCAACCTTTTCTTTCTCTCTTTGTTTGTTTTACACCAACTGCAGAATGCAGTCCGCCATAATCTTAGTCTTCACAAGTGTTTTGTGCGAGTAGAAAACGTAAAAGGGGCTGTGTGGACAGTCGACGAAATAGAGTTCCAAAAGAGACGGCCTCAGAAGATCAGTGGGTAGGTTTGGCCTCCACTTTGAGCCTCCGCTAGCGTCTGTCTCATCGCTTGCTGATTGGAAGAGGCTGCTGCTGCTGCTCCATCTCATTGTCTGTGTGCCATAACGTCCAAAGTCCCCCCC